AAAAAAAAAAAAAAAAGTAGATAGATGATTAAAGATGTTTGCAACAGTAACTGTCATTTTAAGTAAACGTTTATTCCAATTAACATGTTTACACTGTTCACTTATCACTCTTTTTTTTCCTTTTTAATCTTATTTTTATTTATCCAACTATCGTTTTTGATGAATTAATTAGTTGGATAGTTATGTTGTTGTTTCAGGAAATTTTGAGTTGTCTGCTGTCATTTTTATTTGTTCATTACTTCTCTGTAATTACAGTCATATTGTCGTCTTCTTTTTTTTTTTCTTTGCCAATTAAGTATCAGTTGTCTTATGTAAAGCTAAACTTTGTTTACAGGTTTTTTTTGTTTTGTCTTGTTTTATGTTGATGTAATACTGTTGCATGCAAATTCTCATAATCTGTGCTAAGTGTATCGAACGTATAAGATGTGTGTGAGCAGTTTGCTTACTTTTTTTTTTTTTTTTTTGGGAAGGATGAGTGAGGGATTTATTGATTTAGAATAAGACAAAAGTAACTGAAAGAATGTATTGGTAATATGAATGAATAGTAAGAGAATCTATTTGGGAAATTCTTCACTTTTAGTTTCAATGCTCAGTGATTGACATAAGAAACTATTACTAATTTGCAAGTTTGCAATATTTAGTTACTTTTTAATTGGTATAATTGAATGATCTTTTTGTGCTTTTTCTTTTTTGCTTTACATACATCTTGTGTGCTTCAAGTACTTCAGGTTATGCAGCAAATTATGATACATATTTGATTTATATATATATATATATATACATATATGTATATGTCTTGTTGGAAATATTGGTGGTTAATTTCTTTTCTAACTTTGTTTTTAACCAACATTTTCGCAAGTTAATTGTCTTTGATAAAATAACAGTTCTGCAGTAATATTGAACAGCTATAAACTACAACAGATTTACCGCATGAGATTGTTGCTCGACAAATGGCAGCATCATTTTAGTTCGGCCTTCCAAGTTTTAATCGTATATGACGATGTCCCTGTCCATTATCAAAAATTTGGCTCGTCATATCTGCATACTGTAATGCTTTTTAAAAAAAAAAAAAAAGAGGTTTTTTTTTTTTGTTTTGGAAAAAATATTTTCAGTAACGTTCAAAACAGCAAATCATTACCAGTGTTATTTTTTCCCCTATTGTTACAAAAAATAAATAGCACTTTAATTTCAGACTGATGCCTATTACCGTGGAACGGCGAAAGAAGATTCTATTGTGTTTATTGCCATCATGTTAATAATAAGTTGTTTCTTTTGTTTTAATAAAAGTTTATTTGACCAAATCTGTTGGATATTGATGTACAAAAATGAGAAAGAAGGGATAAAATTGGTGTAATAAGAGAGAAGCGATTTTCTCAAATCCAATTCAATTTATGCTGTTCGAAAGAATTCAATTATAACAGTATTTTTCTGTGAAAAAGTAACATTAGAATTGGTAAATTAAGGATTGCTGCTGTATCACTGTTGAGAAATTAAATTTTTTATTTTTCTATAAACTGAAAAAAAAAAAAAAGCAGGAAGTTGGAAAAGTGAAATGGCAATGAAAAAGAAGAAAAACGAAACGCGGATTATCTGTGATTGATAAATAATTTTCGTTTCCTTTTTTTCTTCTCAGATTTTTATGTCATTTATCTGTGAAAACGTTGAACAACTATGCAAATTGGATAAGCTAAAATTTTTTTTAACAACTGATTCTATGCCACAACCATTTCACATTGTTTGGAATATAAAGAAAATTGTAAAAACAAGATTGAACTTTGTTTTTCCAAGAAACAGCAGATAATAAATAAGAGTAAATATTTGACAAAGAAAATTTTTATTTAAATTATCAAAATAAATATACAAATTTTTGCTAAATTATTATTGTAGACAACTACAATTAGCAGAGCACAGTTATCAACAGTACAAATTTATACGAGAAAAGGCAACAGTAATTTGGCAACAATCAAAAAAAAAAACAGCAATATTTGTAGACTATAAAAATTCGTTTTTTTTCTCCTTTTATCTGTATTTTTTAGAGGAAATATTTGAGATATTCAAAGTGCTACACAAAATGTGTCTGTTTTTTTTTTTTAAGTTTTTGTTAAATTATTGTCATCAGCTTTGTATCTAACAAAAATTTATCAAGGTTTTTCTTTGAAACCTCATTTGAACCACTGGTAAACATTGACGATTCAAATATCTGTCAACTGTTCATCACCCAATAGTGTTGTATAATTTTATTTTGGACGTCTAATACAGTTTAAACATAAATTTTTTTCCCTTACTTTAATTCTGTAAAAAAAAAGCCTTTTTTTTTTTTGTTGTTGTTGTTGTGGATACATTGATGGAAAATGAATTTGAACCAAACAGTCATTGTCAAAATTATTTTCGCTATTTTGAAATGCCAGAGTTTAGGCTGTTGGTTTTTCTTTTTTTGGCACAGCATTTTTGGTTCTTTTATTGCTGGGGTATTGATTTTGAAATGTGGTTTAAAAAATTTTTGTTTTATCTTTTATTTTATAATATGTGAAAATTGAAGACAACAAGTTTTTGCTTTCAATTTTTATAACAAATTCACCTGCCTTTATTTTGTTGCTTTTCCTTTTGGTAAACTAATAATTGTACGTAAGGTTTTTTTTCCGTTCTTAGTTTATATTTTATGGTTTCTTTTTTTCAAAAACTATTGTTTAGTGTCACAAATCTGTTTAAATTTTTTAAGAGAATGGGTATCTTAAAACAGAGAGAAAAAAAAAAGGAGGAAAGAGTTGAATATTAAAGAACAATGCTAATTTATTTGTAGAAGTAATAAATTTAAAA